ATAATATACACACACACACACACACACACACACACACACATACACACACACACACACACACACATACATACACAGTTTTGTCAACAATATTGAAAATGATATTATTTCACAGAAACATATATCTAGGAGAGATATTTTCCAGTTACTTATGTGTTCATAATGGCAGTAATCAAGTGGTGAAAAATGTTACTGTAAAAGTAAGTTTTAATTATAATATCTTATATAATATCTTAATATCTTATCTTAATATAATATCTTATATAATATCTATATATAATATCTTAAGATGATAATATCTTATCTGTCATATCATATTGCATATTCTTATATTTTCTAATATTGTATATTCTTAATATATTTATATTTCATAGGCAGATTTACAAACAAGTACGCAAGTAATCCCACTCTCCAGTAGCAATTTGGAAGGGAAAGAATTAGCGCCTGACAGTACAGTGGATGAAGTTATTCATCATGAAGTTAAGGAAATAGGTACACATATGTAAGAATACTTGTACATTTTTGTATTAAAAAAAAATTTATTTCTATCTTTAAGTGATAGATATATCTCTCGTATCCCCCCAGATTAGTTTGTGAAGTATCATACATTAATCAGATTGGACCTCCATTGTCATTTAGAAAGTATTTCAAATTCCAAGTGGTTAAACCACTGGATGTGAAGACCAAATTTTATAACGCAGAGGTAATATTTATATATCTAATTTAATGCTATTACAAATGTTCTTATTTGGCAATGTGTTCTCACAATATTTCTTCAAGTCGGATGAGGTATATCTCGAGGCACAAATACAAAATCTAACAGCTGGGCCAATTTGCTTAGAAAAAGTTGCCCTTGAATCATCCCATCTATTCAATGGTAAGTTTTTTTATCAGAAGAGCATTGATTGTAAGAGCTTTATATTGAAAATGTTGTGCGCCGTAGTGACTACATTAAATACAAACGACGAGGGAAAATCTATTTATGGAAGCGTGAATTTATTAGATACAGGTTGTAGTAGACAATATTTATACTGTTTAAAGCCACAATCAAGCTTATTGAAAGATCCGAAAATGATGCAAAATGCTACTAATATTGGCAAGTTGGATATTGTGTGGAGAAGCAATCTAGGAGAGAGAGGAAGATTGCAAACGAGTCAGTTACAAAGAATGGTATGTTGTAATATTTAATGACGATGAGTTCACTTCTGATTAGTATTCTATATCAGAGATCTTTTTTTAAAGAAAAGAAAAGAAAATGGAAATATTTGACACAATAAAAATATTCATTGGCATTCAATATCTTGTGTTGGTATATTCAATATGTCAGTATTGAAATTATCATCTTTTTCATATTATTCTTTTCTAAAAAAAGGCCATCATAATTTAGAATGATCAACCGGAATCTCTGACTGAAAACTGGACAAGTATGCACCGATCACATGTAAAATTGAATTGATTGTTTCAGGCACCTGAATATGGAGATCTCAGGGTTATCATGAAAGATGTTCCTTTAAAAGTTTATCTTGAAGAATCAGTTAATTGCATATGTCATATAATAAACACATCGTAAGTGCGACCGCAATCAAAATACAAAAAATTATTGTGGATATAATAATTCTTTCTCATTCTCTTGTACAGAGAAAGGAGTATGGAATTATTATTGAGTTTAGAATCGAATAATTCCATAGCTTGGTGCGGAATGTCCGACACAACAATCGGCACTCTGAAACCTGGAGCTTCTATGGACATACCTCTTTGCTTCATTATACTAGATACAGGCATTATCGTAAGTACTTTATTTATAAGGACTCGCTAATGCATTTTTATTAAATATTATCCTTTTTTTACAGACTATTTCTGGTTTAAAACTAATGGATACATTTTTAAAGAGAGTTTATGATTATGATGATCTAGCACAAATTTTCGTTAATTAATGAAAAATAATAAGAGCACTTTTATTAATTATATTTAGCATTTATTGTTTATAAACATAATAAACATTATCAAGATATTCTTAAAGATAAATGTAATATAGATGTCAAGATAATGTAGAATGTTTCATAAATATTCGTCTAATGTTGACATTCTTTCATTTTCGCTGACCGCTCCTACTGCATATGCGAGTAACATTTGAACGTCTCGCGGTTCATTACCACCGAAAATATACCCATTGGCTTTATCCACTGCGTTCTTTACTTGTAGCAACAATGCTTTGTTGGTAATATCTAACGGTATGAAACTAACAAGACTATAGTCTTCGATTATTGATACTAACGAAGTATTAAGTTTTTTGTATCTGTAAAAAAAGTATATCAGTTTAAAAAGAGCTTTTAGAAATTAATAAAATATTTGCATTAAATTTCTTATATTTACTTACTTTGCAGTAAAGGGATTTTCATCTAATTGTTCCAAGAGATATTTTAAATCCAATACCTCTGTATAAAAATCTATATTGAACGCTAGGCAATCGTTGAATTTTTTCATTTCATCGAACTTGGTCATAACATTCACATGAGGCAAACCTATTTGTAACATCACTGTTGTGCAAAGAATTAGAGAGGACAGATATTTCCCTATAAATTAAAAAAAAAAAAAAAACAAAAATTATATCTTGAGTAAATAATGGAAAGTAAATAATCTAGTATTGTTATTTCATACAATTGTTAACTAATTCAAGCAAATATATTTACCAGGATCACTACAATGATGTGAATCCACGAGATGAACGCTACATAATCTCACTAAATTTTGACTCAATTTTTCCACTATATGGCTCACTGATTTATGATGCGTATATAATTCTACCTATTACATTTATGATATATTATTTGTTACACATAACATGTAAGACATAAAATAGAAAAAAAAAATGTAAATGGAAATGTTACTCACTTGGCCGGGACAATCAAAAATAAGATAGTAATCGCTTAAATTTAAAACTTTTGCGATGAGCCATTCGACTTCAGTTTCTAGGAGTTCCATACAATGGACCAAAGCTCCATTTGGTCCAAGTTCAAAATGTGTCATGACTTCATCATGTTTAACTAATTCAGATATATCTACTGCTGGTGTATACTCCATGTTTTCATTTGCTGGATCTAAGATGTAGCAATTATGTTTATTCAAATTTAGCCAAAAAGAAAAAAACAAAATATTTATACCAATATTAATAACAGCCACTTTTCTTCCAATGGATTTTAAAAATTTGGACATTGCATTGCAATATGTTGTTTTCCCACTACCAGGCGGGCCGATAACAAGTTGACCGAAAATTAAACTCATAATGATTCAATTTATATTACATTACCATGGTTTTATTTGATTTACAACAGTGACGATAGATTTCAAAGTTTCTAAGTCATAATCTTTTAGTGCTATTGATAGCAGTAATGGTTTTTCAATGTTAATTTGTTGTGCTATGTATCTGGCAGCTACATGAACGTCGTTGTTATCATTGCCAAAGATTGTCCTATAAATTTTAATAATTAAATAAATAATTCATTAATTTTGTTCATTCATTAAATAAATAATTCAATAACTTATTTGAGTACTAAGTAATGTGATTGCTTATTATTCACATTCAAATCGTTAACATCAAAAAGTATAGACGAGCAAGCATGCTAAAGATGAACTCAACTGCTATTGTGATTTTTGAAATTTGATTAGGATTTATAATTAAAATAGTTTCAATCTATTAAAAACAAATGAAGATATGAATTCCCTGAATTAACCAACTAGCTCCAACCAAATTTTCTATCAGACAAATAAATGACCTATTGATTTATAAACACACTTGCAAAATATTGTTTATATTAGAATATTAAATTAAAAAATTATACTTCTATACAAATGTTATGCATTTACCTGCGTAAAAAAATCAGTAATTTTGAGAAAAATTATAGCAACCTAATATAGAAAGCAAAGTGATACACATATAATCAATACACACAGCAAAGTGATACACATATAAATCAATTTCTTATCACAATATCTGATTCATTGAAAAATCTCAATAAAAGTATGACTGATCAAAACAAGATCAAATAAGAGGATCTTACACATCTAGTAAATTTTATCTAACTTATGACTATCATCAACTTTTCAACATGTAATAAAAGGAATAGCTCCAATCAAATACAAGTTTTCAATGTAACAAAACAAGATGTCTTCTATAAATCTTTTGATGCAGGAGGTCTATAAGTTTGCTGTTTGGAGAAGTTATAAGAATAAAGCTCTATTTTTCACTTTTCTCAAACTTGAAGTATATTTTGTTTTAAATAGTATACTAGTTTAGTGATAAAAAATATCTCCTAATTATACAGTTCCATAAAAATTATTTTCTCATACAAAATGGGTTTGATTAGATACATATTTGATCAGGACTATTCCAAATGTAAACGCATCATTATAGTTATAATTATATAGTTATAATTTTCCGTATAAATTTTTACATACAGTTTAGCATTTAAATAGTTGAATAACTTTAAACTATTATGTATATATGTTGATAATTATTATAAACATTATATTATATCAAAGCTATATATAAATTATAATTGTAAATACATTGTTACTTACTTTATTGTAAATACGTCGCTATTATAACCGTTCACAGAGGATTCGCGATTTACCGTCAATAATGTTCCAAACTTTTTAAAATGCGTTATGATCAGCAGAATCCGATTGCTGCAAAAATTAAAGTATGATAGCGTGATTGTCAAATATATAACAACAATTAAAGAATTTTCATGTCGATAAAACAACATCAATGTGAATATTTTCTGAGTTCGCCAATCTCTAAGTTTAATAATTTTATAATTTTTAAAAAGTCTAAAAGGAAGATTGAGCCTCATAAATATTGACTCCTTCAATTCTTTCAACAATTTAAATAGTAAGAAATCTCAGTAAAACTTAGAAATAAGTTTTAAATATTGTGAAGAAAAAAACTAAAACTAACATTGTAAGATTAATATAAAATCAAAATCTTGTTTAAACGAATAGATATTATGCATTTTACAAAGTAAATCTATTTCCTAGAAAGATGCATAAAAAAATCATCTAGTACCTATAAAGTTTTAAAACGATATCAGTTTGATGGCCATTTGTAACGATACCACAGGCACATTCACTCATATTTCTTTCACATTCCTAAATTTTGCATTAAATCTCGCAAATATTATTCAAAATCTAATATAATTCTCTAATAATTCCGAAAAGATGAATGCGTAG